CTCTTGATTCAGCTCTTTTGACTACTGATTGAACAGTTGCCTTAGAGATACCCATAATCTTAGAAATTTTATTATACCCCATATCAGTATGTTTATATAGGGCATAAATTTCCTTATTTTGGTCTTCTCTAGCTCTTTGGGTATGTGGAGGGGTCATAGTAGAGGCGGTTGTTATGGGGATAGAGGATAACACTGTTGCTGCACTGGGGTATGAAGACTTTACGGACATGACTGTACAGTCGTGTCCAGAAAGTTTTCGTACCCCTGAGATGTAACTACTTAACACCTTATTACCACAACAACCCTCCTCACCCTGGCCTCTCCACATAACCTAAGAGTAAGAGAAGACCTGAAAAAGGAAATTTATACTTTGCATAAACATACTGATATGAGATATGATAAACTTTCTAAGTTTTTAGGTGTATCCAAGTTGACTGTTTCAGCTTGTGGTCAAAAGAGCTAAACCTAGGGGTGAAATACTCACCATGCAAAAAGAGGCAAAAGACCAACCAAGATTACCGACAGAAAAAGAAATATAGTAGAGTCAGTTATCGATGTTAAGCCTCATTTAGCATTATGCTACATTACTAAAAAAGCAAATATTGGTCTTAGTAAAACTACTATTGATAATATCATATCAGAAGCTGGTTTTAAGCTTCTAATACCTAGGAAAAAGCCTTTTTGGAGAAAAGGACAAAAGGAGAAAAGAAGGGAGTTTGCTAAGAGAAGGAGGAACTGGAAAGAGGTATGGAATTAGGTTGTTTTTGTGGATGAAGCCACCATTGTTTATGATCCAAATCTAACAGGCAGAATGGTCAGAGTTAGACCTGGTGAAAAGCTGGAAGAAAAAAACGTAAAGAGTAGCTTTAAGTCTAAAAGGACTAGCATTAGAGTATATGCTGCAATGATGAAGGGAGGAAAGACTGAGTTAATTCTTGTAAGAAAGAAAAAAAAGGAGGAAAGGACCAGTAAAAGAAACAGACTTGGCCTAAACTCTCACCAATTTGCAACTGAGATCCACCAGCCTTACCTTATCCTATTTATAGAGGGTCAGGATAGACATTCTGACAATATCTACCTTGCTGCAGACAATGCTTCCTGGCATGGTGGTGAGGAAAATTGAAAATTGGAAGCAGACTGTGGTTGCAAAAAGCTCTCTTGACAACTCAACTCACCCCATCTCAATCCTATTGAGAACACATAGGCACTACTCAAAAGAGCCCTTACTAAGCAATTTTACAGACTGAAAAGAAGGCCTCTTAGTACAGCTGAATTGTTCGAGACAGCAAAGGAAGAGTGGGATTTAATTCCCCAAGAGAAGTTGGATAGATGGATAAATAGGATGGCTGAGAGAGTGCAAGCTGTACTTGATACAAATAGAGGCCATACAAAATGGTAATAATATTTTTTTATTGTCTACTAGCAATACTGTCATGTTCTCTTTAATTGAATTCTTTAAATTTTTTTTTAAATTTTTATGGTTGGGGGTTGTAGTTGTGTGGTTGCTATGCGAGGGTATGAAAACTTTCTAGACATGACTGTACATGTTTCTTATATTCATGTTATTACAGTACTCATACTTTTCAAGCAAAATTTACATTCTCTATTTATACTAGTGGTGATACCTACTAATATGTAATTCTATAATTTTAGGCTCGCTCTGACTGGGCTAATACCTATAAGATTTAAACTACATATGATTAGGCCAAGATCATATGGACTGATGAATGCACCTTTAATTTCAGAGAAGCCCCAGGATGTGTCTGGATGACACAAAAGGTTCAGGAAGAGTTTGACAAGTCCTGTCTTCTTCCTAAATTTAAAAAACAATAATCTATTCTTGTTTGGGGCTGCGTTGTTGGAGGCCGAAAAGGTCCACTAATCATATGGGATAAAGTGGCATAGAGTAAGACCATAAATGTAAAAGAATATCAAACTCACATCATTCCTCATCTGGATCAATTCTGGCATGATGAGTCTGCAGAGACTCATGACTATGTCTATATTAAGCATGATAATGATTTTCTCCATTGAGCTGGGCCTACAGTTACAGATTTACAAGTGCAGCCTCTACAATTACCTTATGCCCTAGCCTGCAACCTCACCAGACCTTAACCTGATAAAGGCGGTTTGGAGATTAATTAAGTTTCATATTAACAAGCTCCTCCCCGGGTCTCAGAATAACAATGACATGATCACTACCATTTGTACTTAATGGGAGGCACTTGCTGAGTATGAACTAGGAGAGATTCTTGATACCATAGTTGATTGAGCTGATGCTATTATTAGTACAATTGGTGGTCATACCAAATACTAGTTATTCTTGTTTTGGTGTTTTTCCATTTTCTTTTATTCCTTGTTCAGCAGTCTTTTTACTTTTCTTTTTACTTGTTCCAGGCGAGGGGTAATACGGGATACCAGTGATGAGTTTGTAATATGCACAGATTTTCTGCCATATATTTTGCAAATACCGGTTTCCAGATACTTCTTACCTCAGACATATTCTTGATATATCTGAGCATACCTGCATAGGGAAGAACTTTTTACCTTCAAGCCTGGTTTTGCTTCTGGAACTTTCAAGAGCTTTTCTATTATTACTTGCATATTCTGAGTATGTCATCTTTCTGACATTTCTTTACTTACCAGCAATTATTTCCTTTTTTCCCATATTTCTCTCCTGCATCTCCTTCCTGTGCTATGGGGCTAGCTAGAATCTTTGAAAGTTCCATCTCTCTTCTGACTACCGATCCTGCTATCCCGGGCAACTATAAGTCAAGCTTTTAGATAGCAGCTAGAGGATACAGCTCCCTTATTCCTAACTTTCTGCTTGTACAGAAGGGGTTATTAGAAAGTTAAAAGGTTGAAAACAAGAAAATCAGTAACATTGGGCCACAATTATGATATCTTTGTTTGTTAGTTCCTACTTTGTTGAATTCAATCGTATTGATTTGAACAAAGTTTTGGTGCACACCTGACAAACTCTGTACCACTGCACCCTAATCTCTGATCCCTGCTCTGTACCATGAATTCATGATCTATCCTTGTACAGTACTTGTGCATCTCAGCCAAGAGTTGGCACTACATTTGTCGTAGTCAGTAGCTCAAGTTCATTTTCACTGAATGGGTATAGTAGCTGACGACTAGAATGGAGGTCTAACTATGTGAGGAATTAAAGTTGAACTTTACAGATGCTGGTATATATATGACAAGTGGTAAGTAAATCTAAGCATTAAACTTATTGTCTCCATGCCAGGTATGAACTTGTAAGAGGTTTAGATGAAAGTTCATACAAAACTGGTCCACCAACTCCTAGGGCATCTTATCCCACTCATATCTAAGTGCCTCGATTACCTTCTGTTTTGTCCGTTCACTTGTTCCAGTAAATCTATATACCATCATCCTATCCTTTAAGTAACTCCAACACTGCTCAATTTCAATCAGGTCAGGTGAGTTTGGCGGCCAGCTTGGAATCCAATAAATACCCCGTGCTGTAGCCTCTACTTGGTCTAACTTTGCTGCTAGTGTATGGTTTCCAGCATTATCCTCAACTAACCAACAGTGTCTCCTACTTTCTGGTTAAATGTGTTCGACAAATAGATAAACTCGTGCATGAAGAATTTCCTTTTGATAAAGGAACCAATCTAACCCTCCTCTTATATTTCTTCCACGTATTTCCTCCCCAAACTCCCAATATGGATGGCGTAGTATATGGCATGCCACATTTGGTTTTCGATTAGCATTATACTGAGTAATACTTGGATTTAATAGCTGGAGGTAGTTGTATTCTTCAGTCTCAGGAATCATTGCATTAATTCTTTTCTGCTCTCTTCGTTCTATCCTTTCCTGGTTCTCCCGTTCCAGCTCCTCATTATTTTCTCTCTGTTCCTCTTCACTTTCCCTAAACCAGATCCATATAGGACCTTTAAACCTGGGTGAGATACTTCCTGATACCATAATACTGAGACCCGATTTGACTTTATCAGGTACAGTACAGGAATTTGGATCTTCTCCTTTATGTCATGTAATATTTGGAAGTCTTCAGGGAGCTCCCACTTCAAAAATCATTTCGTCACTGAAGATGAATGATTCAATTGGTTAAGTAAGTCTCCAATCAACCAACTATAAGTGTTTTTGCTTACAAGCCATATCAAGGGACCTGTTGATTCGGTGTTTATAGCGAAATAGTTGGTGATGTAGGTTCATCATTCTATATGCTGTTGCTCATGAACCATCAACTTCTGCCTCCTGTACAATCTCAGGAAATGTCATCAGCCGATGGTCAATATCTTCGGTAGCGAGAGCTCCCATTTGATTTGATTCTGGTAATCCTGCAGGATATTTTTCTGGAACCGCAGGCTGATACTGTTTCCTATCCCAGAGTTTAACTGTGGCTAACACGGTTTGGATATTCTTTTCTGTATTTGTACAGTGCTCCTAGTCACATATATTTGGTAAGGACTTCCACAAAATATCAAACATTAAGGTCCCCTGTCTGGTTCTAATAACATACGTCTGTACGGATAAAGATTTTGCGAACAGTTTCTTGATCTATTGTCAGATAACCTGCAATCTTCAGGAAACTCATTTTTGTGCATATGTGAAGGGCAACAATAGCTCCTCTATTCGATATCGATACAGTTTTCCCAGGAGCCATCACAGATGAGATTATATAGATGCAATAGTGTCTCGCCACCAATACTTGAGTATGATATTTAAAAACTTTTTTTTTCTATTTTGCAGAATCTACTAATTCCTTAAACTAGTTATACACTATCAAAAACTATACCTATTCAGTGAGCAAGAATATTCGCCACCTCCTAGGACAAATGTGTTGCCAACTCTGGGCTGAGACGCACGAGTACCATCCCCGGGAGTCACATCCCCATGATCCCACCGAGCACCCTAACCCTTAGCCTCTCCATCACCAAGCTTTCTCAAACTTGATGGCATGAGGCGGGCAAAGTTGTCACTTTTCTGCCACCACTTCCCCTTTCCTAAACTCCGGATAATGTTACACTTACCTTTTCCATGATATTGTTTTTATCCACACCATCTTGCGTCAACCCAGCATGTCCATAGAGGTCAATTGGGAAACCCTTACAGCTGGCCCAGACGGGGCTCGCTATGCGGAAAACATCCGCTCCTTCGTGCACGAAAAGTTCCAATCCATTCCATTCCCCAAATTCATCAAATCAGTCAATGTACACTCCTTCTCTTTCGGCAATGTGCCCCCGGACGTAGAGATCAAAGAGCTCTGCGATCCTTACCCTGAATTCTATGAAGACGATGACGACGAGTGCTCTGACTCCGATTCCGCCGATATTGATAACGGGAACGTCGGGGGTGAGGACGAGCAGGATTATTTGCTCAAGCTTGAGAGGGAGCGGCGGAGGAGGGAGAGAAGGGATGATGGCTATACCATTGGAGGTGCGAGAAGCCCTCCACCGGGATTGAATCCCCCGCCTTATACGCCGGACGGCAGAACCGGGATCCCATTTCGGAGTCCATTCACACCTGGCATTCCGGATACTTTTCCGGGGAGAGTAGGCGTTGCTGGAGTCACGACTCCATTATTTCATCGTGGGGGGAGTAGCTCGAATTTACACTACTTTCACTCCGCCTTATCGTCTGGGTTCACGGGGACAAATACACCCACACTCCCTGCCTTTCAATCGCCTACTTCACCGGGTCCTACGGAAAATCAGCCCCGTTCTAGTTCTACCAGTTCTCTCCCGTCACGCCCGTCCACGTCTGACTCTGGCGGTCCTATATCCTCACTAAATATCACCGATCCTCCTAGTGTTGGGTCCAGCGCTCAGGAGCCACTCCATACCCCAACATCCGAAGATTCCCGCGCAAGGGGATCATCCTCATCCGCCATTCCCCGATTGACGGAACCCCGGGACCAAGATACTCAGATAATGGCTCGTGTCCGCTACTCAGGCGATATCCGACTTGAACTCACGGCCGAATTACTTCTCGAATACCCCATTACAAATTTCGTCGCCCTCCCGGTTCGTCTCCTAGTCACAGGGTGTAAATTCGATGGGTTGGCCTGCTTGGCATATATTCGCCGACGGGCACATTTTTGCTTCATAGATGAGGAGCAGACGCCCGATCTAGGCGATGGCGAAGGAGTTACTCGGGTTCGTACCAAAAGTTTATTGAAAGAGATCAAGGTCGAGAGTGAAATTGGTGAAAAGGGGAAGGGCAAACAAGTACTCAAGAACGTTGGCAAAGTGGAGCGATTCGTACTAGAGCAGGTTCGCCGGATCTTTGAAGAGGAATTTCTATTTCCGAGCAGTTGGACCTTCCTAATTTAATATACCTACTTAATAATGAACCAACGCTACCCTGATCATGAATTCATGACATTTTGCTGCATTACAACACATAAGACGAGACTCAAACCTCCTCGCGACAAGAGTAGAGAAGAAGCAGAGTCAATAGCCATCCCTCCATTTCCCTCCCATCTCTACCTCCACGTCAAGACGCCGAACTCTCCCCCTAGGCTCCGTATCCCCAGCCCCCCAAAGTACCCCGTACTTCCGTCTTCCTAACCCAGCATTCCTCCGATCATATACGAACCCCCCCCTGCATGCTGGCGTCTGTCCCGGCAGAAATCCTCGTCGCCACTGATACACTTGCTCCGGGGCATACCCGCTATCAGAATACCCCCAAGATCCACCACGGCGCAAGCGCTCCACGGTGTTGTCATGACGCAAGTGTGTGGAGGCTGTTCGACGGGAAGTAAATGACTGAGAAGGTAGCTGTGTGCATTGCGAGAGTGGTTGCTGCTGGCTTGATCGAGATTGGCACATTTTTCGTGGCGTTTTTACGGGTAGGAGTTTTGTTCAGGTTGTTGATAGTAACTAGTCCGTGAGAGTGTTGATGGATGGATGTCAGGATAATCAGTAAGTGGGGTGAAATGAAGGGGCCAAGATTTGTACATTTTGACCCATACACAAGTGAAGTCGCCTATTTGGAGTCGCATCGGTCGCGTTAGGGAGGAAATTTGCTTGGTTTAACTAATAGCCGGTTCCTCTCCAATCTCGCTCCGCCCATACAGTACTAGGTCAAATCGTTTCGTCCGATCAGGGGTAACCGAACAACACCTCAAAAAACTCCATCCCACTAATCAACCACACCTTAACAACAATGCCTTCTGAAAAGACCGGCCATCTCTCAGACATTGAGAAGGGGCAAATTGTTCCTCTGAGAAAAAAAGAATTCTCTTATGCTGAAATTGAAAAGCTCTTAAACTATTCAAAGAGTACAGTTCTCAGTTTTCATAAGTGCTATCAAAAGAGGGGTGATGAGAAAAACCTTCCAAGATGGGGAAGACACAAAATTATCAATAACAGAACCTGCCTCTGCTTATCCAGAGAGTCCAAGAAGGCACACTGCCAAACTCTGTCAGAATTGTGTAATGATGTTATACCATATACCTCTCTGAGTACTGTCAAGAGAGCATTGGGATCAGCCAAGATAAAGAAGTGGAGAGCAAGGAAGAGAGCTCTTCTAGAAGATGAGCATGCCATCTAGAGATTAGCTTAGGATATGGAGCATAAGGATTGGACAAAGGAGGACTTAGAGGATATTATCTTTAGTGATAAATCCATGGTTGAAAAGTCCAAAGATTCTAAGGGTATTTGAGTATTCAGAAGACTGAAGTAAAAGTGGCATAAGGACTGCATTCATGGGGTTACAAAAGATTCTGGGATAAAGCTAATAGTATGGACTTGTATTTGGATTAAAAATAAAGGTACTCTGATTCCTATTTTTGAGAAGAGTTTGAACAGAATTGTTTATATTAGAGTTTTAGAAGATGGTTTAGTTGATATGTAGCAGGAGGTGGAGGACACAGTTGGAGATAGTATATTTCAACAAGATGGTGCAAAGATACATACTGTAAAGGATACTATGTTTTGGTTTGAGGAAAACAACATACAGGTTATGGAATGACCACAAAATTCTCCTGATTTTAATCTGATTAAGCACTGATGGAAGAGGGTAAAGGAAAAGCTATACCAGTACTTTCCTGACATTCATAAGACTAAGAGTAGTCCAGAATCTGTTAGATAACATTTAGAAGAAGTTCTTAACGAGGTTTGAACTCTTGATATAAAAGGGAATTTATTGGAAAGGCTGTGGAAGTCCATGCTTAGGAGAGTGGCTGCTGTTTTAGATGCAAAGGAATGGTACACAAAGTATTGATTTTTTTATTCTATAATTTTACATGAGAATTTTCTTATATCTATTGAATTTCTAACTAAATTTTCACTTCATTCTAAGCAGTTGCGCACTTGAAAAATGATTACACGCCCTCTAAAACCGGGC